ACATCCTATTTTGATCAAAAGCCCCAAACGTTAAATATAATTCCTTTGTTTTCTTTAAAAATACTCTTTTGGTCGCAAATCGGTAAAACTTTCAAAACCGATTAGGTCGAAGTTCGTTTTTGTTCAAATTTAAAACATATCTCTTTCATAACCTTATAAACATATTCCAAGTTTACACTTTCGCAATTTGGGCATCAACTCTTTATTTTTCTCAAAATTTCTCTTTTAAGCAAATAAATCACAAAATTTTCAAAAATTTTAATTAAATTATATACAACTTTAAACTCCATATAATCAAGTAAAAGTACATAAAGAATTGTAAGAAAAATCCCTACCTCGATCTAAGAGCTTCCAAGAAAATAAAAATTTTCAGCGACAAAAATTCAATTCGTTCAGATTAAATTGGAGCCCTTAAAACCCTCTACAATTTGATCTATGGAACTAGGGTCTAAAATCTTATTGCAGCTAAATACACAGATTGAAAGAAAGAAAGAAAGAAATGTGAACTAGAATATCTGCTCTCTAGCTCTCTCCCCCCGAGCTCCCTTGCACTCACAATTATAGTCCACTCATTTCCTTTACCATTTCTTTCCAGCAAACTTCATCATTTTGCACATATACATTGTCTTCACTTTCCAGCACATGCAACCATGAAATTCTATGAAGTACATCAAGGTTTGGTACAATTGGATTGGCTTCTCTTCTTCTTCTTTTTTTTTTTTTTTTTTTTTTTTTTTTTTTTTAAATCAATATAAATATCTATCTATACATATATCTATCTATCTATCTATCTATCTATCTATCTATCTATCTATATATATATCAATTAAAAGTATATTTCAATATTATTAATGATAAAAGATATAATATTTTCTTACCACAAAATATATTTCGTTTAATGGTATACACCATAAATATTCACAACTCTTTTATGCTAATCAAATAATAATAATAAAACAAAAAAAAATATTACATGGTTATTAACGGTTCATGATTCAATCAATTGGGTCTAAAATGAATGGTATTTAATAATTTAAAATAAATCTTCAACTGAGATTAAAATATAAATAAATTTTAAACGACTTAAGGTGGTCCCCACCATTCACATAATTAACTATGAACCAAAATGATTAAGTATGGGCTAATAAAATAAAACCTAAAAATTGAATTTATATCTCATTTATTACTCAGGAACCAAGAATCACTATAACTAAAACTAAAACTAAAAAAAATAATTTTTTTCCAAGCGGGCCTTACGAAGTCGAAATCAAAAAGTAATTCAATTTATTTTCACCAATTTAAATAGAATGGTTCACGACACCACAACAATAATAATAAGGGCAAAATTCAATTTGATTCAGCTCGTTACAAAAATCATGTAATTAAAATGAATTAGCAACAAGATGGAGAAAAATGGAGTTAAGATTAAGATTATGGAAATAAATTTGAAAATTAATTAGTTTGAGTTTGATTTTTGTTATTTTTCATAAAGTTGAAACTCATCTTTACATGCATCTTGGAATTTCAAGATTTTAGATTTTAATTTATGTTAAAAAGACTTACAAATTTCAATTTGGGCTTGATTTTAAGGAAATTAATAAAAATATAAAATTAGTTAATTTTGATGTCAAGTTCATACATGCAAATGATTTTCTAAGAAGTTTACAGCTTTGATTTCATGTTTTGAAGGAAAATGGAAAAGAGTTTGAAATCAATTTTATGTGATTAAGAAGAAATTGACAAGAAAATGAAGCATTTGAGCTAAACTCAAGTTTATAAAGTTAATTTGGAAATTAATTATTTTGGACTTGATTTTGAAAGATGTAATTAGATTAAGCTCCATAAATTACATGCAATTTTATTGTGCATTTGATTTTGAAAAAGAATTTTAGAACCATGAGTTCGTGGGTTTTGATTTTGAAATTAAGTAAGGTTTTGATTTAAATATTGTGTTTCAAGATTTTGAACAAATAATTTATAAATAAATAAGTGTTTATGTTTTCTAAAGTATTTTTAAGGTTTTGATCAAGATTAGTATGGGTTTAAAGATTGAAAATGCATTTGGAAGCCATTTTTGAGAAATTCGGAACTCTGAAATTTTACGGACCACACAAGTAGTATAATTACCGCTCGAGCACACATTAAAGGCTTCTAGTACTTTTGCAGTCTTTACAAATCGCTCAAGCGAATAGCTTTTTTCTAGTATATTTTGGAAAAATAACATATCATATTTTCAATCTCATCTCTTTCCAAGCATTCTTAGGCAAGAATTATGACTCAACAAGATTAATAAATTAACAATTAACATAAATTAGTTGGTTAAGGAATAAATCATTGATTTAGTAATAATTGATTAAGAAGCCAAGTAAGAAACTGGTTTATTTAGAAAAGAGAGATTTGGTAATGAAAGAATATGTGAAATAAGAACCCGATTAATTTGAATAAGAAAGAATAAGTGTAGTAGAACTTCAGATTACTTAGACAGAAAAAGACAAGAAAAGTCAAGTTTGATCAATAAGTGATATTGTGATACAATGTGTATATGTTATGTGTTTGTGTAGGTCACGTGCTATCGTCTACCTAACCTGTCTGATTTGTCTAATCTATCTGATTTGCTTCTGGAGCTATCTATGAGTAACAACTTTGTAAAACTATTTTCAGTTATATGTATTTTCTAAATGATATGATACTCTGTTTTTTGAACAGTTATTTTCTGTATGAAAGAATGATTGTCCAATTTTCTTAAATGTATTCGCGGCATCCTTAGCATCATGTGATATCTATTATCTATTACCTGGTACCAGAGGTTCATCATGGAACTTGTTAAACATAACTGTTATCTGCTCTGTATCTGACTGTCCCATGTGATCATGGGTTATCTGTGTGTTAGCGTTAATGGATGTACCATGTATGACTATATGTAAAATCTGAATATGAATATGAATATGAATATGTTTCTGATATGAATTTTGAACTCTGATTTCTGAATCTGTTATGGACATCATTCATTAAAACCTTTACTTTGTGCCTGTTTGGTGCAGCTTAAAAGCTGCTTATTTTAGCTTTCAGCTTAATTTAAGTTATTTTGATGTGTTTGGTTTAGCTTAACAATACAGCTTATAGCTTTTTGTAAGTCAGAAATCAGCTTATTCTTTGAGTAGGGCAGGAGATGCTTAATTTATAAGTCAAAAATCAGTTTATGTTCATAGTTATAAGTTATAAGCTGTTAAGGCATAAGCTATAAGCATTTTCCTACAGCACTACCAAACAGGACCTTTGTTATTATGAGCTGGAGAGCTCACTGTATTAATTATGTATGTAAGTGATTAGGTGCGTGACCAGACTTAGAGGCATTTATTTGGAATTTGTTTTTCTCAGCCAACCTATGTGTCTCTCGTGGAGGTTCCGGATATGTCAAGTGGTTATGACTATGTGATTTAAGTTTAAGTTCTGTTTTCTTATTTGGTTAAACAAATCTTTGTTTATTTTGTAAATAGGGCTAAGTTTCATTTTGTTTCATCTATATATATATGATGACGTAGGAATGATGTGATAATATATGTATATCAAAAGTTTAAAAGTTTTCTATCTCATATATGTCTGCACAGCTTAATGGACAGTATATATTTGTTATTTGCTTCCGCTAGCCCCTAATATTATGTTTTCTATCTATGAGGCCTTCGATAATCTATGAATTACTGGTCGGTTACGACGCTAAACCTGTAGGGGCGAGTTTAGATCGTGACACCTACATGCCTAGCAAACTCGCTATCATTTTCCTCCACTAAGGTACGATGGCAGACAGAACAAGGGGGACTAGGGGACATATCTTTGGTACCACTTTAGGAGAGCAAGGCAACACCGCCAAAGGTAACCTTTTTCTTCCTGGAAAGGGACGTAGTCCTGCATTCGAAATACAATTCTTTGTTATTACTCTCTATCTATATTACCTTTCTTTTTCTCTCTAAGTCATTAAGGGGTTTTCTAGCCAACTTTGGTCGGGCAACCTCACTGATTCTTTGTTTTGTAGATCTTGATTCTCGAATAGTCCAGTTTGGCCACGGAGCTTCACTATTCAACAGTGCGAAAACCACCTCGCATAATAACTATTCCAACACCTTTATATTTGTAAGAAAATTGTATTCAAGCCTCACTATATCCACATAAGTACCGAGTGCAAAACCAAAATGTACTTGAACTAAGGCTGTTCAAATATCTGAACCACTTAAAAAAATCGACTGAACTGCCTCGACTCGAATCATAATGGTCGGTTTCGTCAATCTCTACAGCCAGCGTCAGTTGCAAGATTTCAAAGTTTTATAAAGAATAGTCAGTCAACTGTTCCAATAAATTAATATTCATTGAACCGAACCATTCGAAAATATGAGCACATTTACACATGAGCTCACTTAGTGGCTATTTGGGAATCCAATGAAAAAGCTTTGTTTTTAGTAACTTCAAAAACGCATCCCCTACAGTTAAAAACGCCAAATGGGAGCTTCTATTTGCACACACTATATCCTCTTTTCTCACACTTAATGAGAGGGTGTGTTAGAGAGTTGTGTGTGGAGGATGTGTATAGAGAGAGGTGTGTGTGTGTAAATAGATGCTCCCAACATCATTTGGGAAGTATAGAAACGTAAGGTGTGAAATTACTGCACTGCCCTCCATGTTAATAAATAGTTAGAAAATGAGTTACATGGGTTAAAAAGTAAATTTTTTAAGTTGGATGGATATTTTGGTCATTTTATGATAAAGTGACATTATAAATAAATATTAATTAAAAAAATAAAAAAATAATATTTTACTAATTTGTCAAATCATTTCTTAAAAAATTTAAAATGTTTGATTAAAAGTTAAAAATTAACTTCATGCTATATTATTTTTCCAAAACACCCTTAATTGGATTTACAAATTACACTCCAACTATTGTTTTGTACGTGCCTCTTTGTAATTGGACCCCTAAATTACGCCTCATCAAATTTCTCACTTTTCTCATCTTCTCTGCCGACCTTTTCATTTCCCTCATTGTACTTTTCAACTTTCAATGTTAATGTTCTCCGTCTGTAGTTCCATCATTTCACGACAGTGTTCTGTCTCTTCATGTCTCTCACAATCTCTCTCCTCTCTCTCTTCTTCTCTCTCTCTCTCTCTCTCTCTCTCTCGGCCTCAGTCTTGCAGTGTTTCCCTTTAGCTTTCAGTTGTCCTTGCCTCATCGGTCGACTGTCTTCTCTCACATGATTTGGCCACTACAGATTCATCGCCAACTCTCGCTCTCCGTCAATCCATTGCCCCTGACTCTCGCACTCAGTTCTCCGTCAACCCATTGTGTCGAACTCTCCTCCATGGCCTCACCCTTTACCCCTTTGTTAAAACTCAAATATTATGGAAGATGAGAGGATGAAGACGTGATTGGATGATCTGGTTTTTCTCAGATCTATATCACCACCGACTGAAGTCCAATTGCCGAACCATTTACCAAATGCTTTCAGTTTCAAAGGGTTGAGCGGTCGAAATCGGGTGTTCACACTTCCAACCCGAATTGGTTGGTTCGAATGATGGGTTGATGACAGAACTGACTTGACTTGACCCTTGAGCAGCCCTAACTTGAACCGTACCCAACAATCAGAAAATTGAAGGAAAAAAATGGATAGGTATTTTGCGTACCTGTATGCATGCAAAAGTACCCAACTTGTACCCATACCAGAAACATACGGGTATGACATGCTTCATAGTTTGTGATAGTCTTATACAACCATAATGTAGCTTGATTCTTTGTATGTTAGAACTCTTTTGCTTCTTTAATATTAAAATGCTTGTAATGGTTTTTATATTGCATGCCCTCTAATTTCTTTGAGAAAGACCTCTTTATTCTTATCATTGCATCTACTAAAATGAAACTCTCATTCACGTTCATTAAATTCTTACACAGACATGTTTCTTGTTGAAGTGCCTATATTGAGTTCATTGTTGCATGAGATCAATATGAACAGATTAGATATAGAATGTGAGCTCCTCAAGTCATGAGTAGCTCATCCAAATAAAAATAAAACCTTTACCTTTGATCAAGTCTTGAATTCCTTTATGTTTTTCATATTATTAAAGATACTAGAAGGGTGATTGTATAAAATCTAAGAAGGTTTGATCCCGACATTTATGTTGCAAGGTCTCTATTCCTATCCTTTTTGAGGACCGAAGACAAATTGCCAGGTCATAAACAAGCCATACCCAACTCATCTACCACATAAATTTCCCCCTAAATTATGTAGTACTGTTAAAACTATAATCTACAGATGCCAGTAAATGGAGGTTCAGTTTAGTAAAATGCCGTATTCTCTTCTATAATTGTGAGACTTATAACAACTCTGTTTAAAAAATGAACCAGGCTTGTTTCCGGGGCAAGTACCAACTGAACTAGTGTCATGACACCTATGAAGCACATACACCTCCCTGAGGCATGCATACGAGTGTTGGAAATCGGGCGAGGTTTTGGAGTCATTGGTGGTGTGATGTTGACATGTTGGATGTGGCCACTTACCCCAATGTGGCTTGTGCAGCTTTGAATGGGAGGCTGCGTTGTATGATTATTTGAAGTGTGATGGTGGGTGTGTGTTTTAGGATATTGATTTACAGAGGGACTTTGATGATTGGGATTTGGGGGATTTGTTGGAGTGAGTTCACTGGGGCTGTTGTATGCTTCTTACATTGGGGATGGAGCGGATCGAAGGTTCTTTTGGCTGCATTAGTGTAAATTTTTATTATGAGACCCTTGTGGGCTCTAGGGAGGTCTCTCTTCCCTTCGTTAGGGGTTTGGGATACAAAGATTCCATCTAAAGGGCCGTCTTTTGTTTGATGTGCAGTGCATGGTAAAATCCTCCTATTGACAATTTGATTAGAAGAAGGCAGGTGCATGTAAATTGGTGCTATATTTGCAAGGATGATGAGAAGAATGTGAGCCACCTTCTCATTCATTGTGATGTGGCTCGGGAGCTTTAGCCCTTCTTTTTATGTTTGGTGTTGATTGGGTGTTTCCCAAGGAGGTGGAGGAGTTGCTCTGGTACTAGGGAAGAATTTGAGGAGGTCAAGTTTTGGTGCTTCGCTTCTCGCCTATTATGTGGTGGATTTGAGGTGAGCTCAATAGGAGAACCTTTGACAGTGGGGAAGAGCCAATTTTAAAGATTGTCCTTTTGTATAGTTGGATGTGGGGAGGGTTAATCCTTTCTTGACTCATTTTTTTTTGAATTTGTAGATACTTTTGACTATTTTTGATGTACAGTTGAGATAGCCTTTGTACATGGGTTGCATCCTCTTGGTGCCTCTTAATCATATACTTCATGTCAGAAAAAAACGAAAGAAGAGAGGTTAATCTCTGAATAAAATTAATTAGAGTACATGGATGGCCAGAACAGTGTTTCAAATGTAAAAAAGTGAGTACAATTGCTTTGATAACATTGTGTACTATTGTGGGGTGTAAGATTGAGAGCAATAACAGTCAGGTTGTAATGGGAAAAATACCAGGGAGTGTATTTGTCTCACCATATGTAATTTTTACTGTTATTGTATTGCCCTATCTCACCTGCTTATGTAGGTATTTGCAGAATCACATAAATTCTGTGTAAATTTTATTTTATTGCATCCATTGCTTGGGTGGTTTTTTTTCTCAACAAATCTGTGATGCAGAGGACAAACAATTGAAGTATTTGACATAATGTGTGTCTGTATGCTTTGAAGCAGTGTTTGGATTGAAAGTGAATACGTTAGTAAGAGTTCGCTTATTCCTGTTGGTACTTAAAGGAATCTATTATATATATATATATATATATATATATATTATCTTATGGTTCTTCCTAATGTCTTTTTGTTTACAGTGGAGGAAAAGAGAAATTACAAATTTTTTTTTTATCGGAATGGTGAGACATTGTGCCCTCTCCCATAGATTCAATGATGTTTGATGTGTTGCTATTCGTTCTTTTGCAGAATGCATGATACTCATGTTAACCTACGAGGCATGGATACCTCTTCAGAAGTCACATACACATGTCGGACATGTTGGGGATATGTTGGGGGACCCTTTTCATTTATTTATTTTTTACTAGAATAACATACCAAGGTTGATGAATTTGACGAGAATAAATATTTTGACATAGAATAAATATATAACATTAAGAAAATATCACATAAAAATTATATAAAATTGTATGCTTTGCAGGTGTCCCCGACGTGTTGTGTCTTATAATTTAAAAAATTTGCATGTCCGAGTGATTGTGCTTTTTAGGTGTTAACCATGAGAATGTCCCAAAGCAAGGTACTCTTTCTAGCAGGATCACTCATATAACTTGCCAGACTTCCCTAAATACACATTTTTTGTATTTATTGTTCACAATCAATTATTTCCCTGCAGCTTAGCTTCCCATAACATGCTTGCAAATTTGACATAGTTTACTCATGTTTCATTGTTAATTCCTAAGTTTCCAATCTCATCCACAATTATTTTCTAGGATAGCAGAACATGCTTCAGATGCCATCAACAGATTTATTTCTCAGTTCTGATCATGAAAGTAAAATGGACCAGTTTTTCATTATTATTATTATCATCTCAAATCAAGTTACTTTCAGTCTCCCTCGCTCCCTAGAATCACCTTCAGTGGGGATAATGTCACTCTTCCTAACTGGTCCATTTATCAATCTTCTTCCTGCATGCTCAAGCTGTCTCAATTGATGTTTCTTATTTTATCTACAATATGTGCTACCTCTATGTAGACATCCTATTTTTGACCGGCTTTAAGACTTGGGTGCTCTATGAAAAGCTCCCGATGAAGAAATCGGAGATCGCTCCAAGCAATAAGTTAGGGATGGAGAGTGACAAACTTCCCTATACCTGTTTTGGCTAAAAGATTTTCTAGACTCTTAAAACCTATTTTCAAAATGTTTTTAAGGCAATTGGTACTTTTTCATTCATTTGGCCGTTCTTAGTAGTATGTTTTCCAAAAGTATTTAATTCACTTTTTAAAAAGAGTAAGCTTAGAAAGGCAGAATGAATGAGAAAACTCGAGAAACCTTTCAAGAAAATAAGCTAGATAAGGCTAGGTCAGCTAAACAGCTTTTCAAAACTACAAGCCGGACAATTTATATCCGGCAGTGAACATAATGATCTCGTGATGCGTGGCTGGATCTTTTCAACCTCACCGGAGCTTTTTTTGAAGAAATACGCCAAACTACTCGATGCCGGCCGGACAAGTCTTATCTGGTGCAACCTGTTTTGACGTCAACCAAGTAGCTTTCTTGTGAGGTGTCCCAAGGATCTTGGAATATTCCATCCGGATCCTAGAGATTTAAAGGCACATTCCAAGCCTTCCAAGCCTATAAAACCCCCCCTCTTTGGAGGATTAAGGGTTCCAAAAATTCTAACTCCTAAAGGATTCCCTAAAATTCTAGGTAATGACTTAGTTAATTAGGTAATCAATCAACTAATTTGAGTGGGATTTGGACATTGGAACTGATACACTTAAGATTACTCTCTTCATCCCTTTGTGTGGAGACTTCGAGCGAGGGACCTCTACTGGCCAGAGGGTGCTTGGATTAGAGTTTGTGACCAGTTTGGGCCCTCTCTTTACTAGCTTAGAGGTAATCCCTACTTCCATTCTTAAAATTCTTGCAATTTCTATTTCTATTCTTTTTCTGTTTGAAGCTTTCTTGAGATTTTGAGATCATTCTTGGGTGGTTGTTGATAATATATTTGGATTCTCTTTTCTTCCTCACCTTTCTGTAGTTGGTGGAGCCTATATAGAGACTTTGGCTAAGTTCGAATTGCTTTTTCTTTTTGTTGATTTGTTATGGGTTAAAAACCCAAGCATGGTTTTCTCTATGAGAAGAGATTGGTTCTCTCCTCCCGAACCCATTTTACATGGATTTGAGTAGCTCATACTCATTTCAATGAGTATGGAGAGGAGAACCCTTCGCTTCTCGTAGAGTTTTCCTTTTTCTATACTTTTATATATTTTTTTATTATTTTGATAAATCATTGATGATGTAGAAGCCCAGGCATGGCTTCCTCCTCGAGTATAGATTGAATCTCCCCTCGCCATTGTATTTCATGAATTTGGGTAGTTTGTACCTATTTTCATGTGTTAGAGGCCGAGAATCTCTTTATCCTCGTTGGAGTTCCCTTTATTTCATTTTATTGTATTTTCATGATTATTATTCATTATATCCATTGCGTGCGTTGGAACAGGTCTCCTTTCTCCTATCTATACTCTCTATCTCTTCTTCCCTTTATCTTATTTTAGCTTTATTTTGTCTTCATAAAATTTACATGTCTAGTCTAGGATCATGCATTTGAGCTTGGAGCATTATATTTTGGTAGTTATGTGGTGTGTAGCTTCAATGATTTACATGCCATCTTATTAGAATCAGGGCTCATAGGACCCATCGTGCTTGAATCTTGCATTAGCTATCATATCTAGGATCATGCATATTTCTAATTAATTGTTTTCTGTTATGCTTAGCTGGAGTACTCGGTGAGTTTTCTAGTTTTCTTTTATCTTCCTTTGCACATCATTTAGTTTGATATCTAGGATCATGCATTGATTTCTAACTCTTTATGCTCATGGCATGGTGCGGAGGAGTACTAGGTGAGCCTCTTTCATCTTCGCATCCTGAGTATGTGATTGTTTCTTATTGTGTCTAGAATGATAGTATGAGGCTAAGTGCTTATGTGATGTATCTCCATGTTTGCTCATTGTGTGGAGGCTTTGTTGCCTAAGTTCGAATGACTTTGATCTCTTCGCATGATGGTTATCTCGATTTTTCATGAGATTTCTGCTTTAAAACCCTTTGCAAATGGCAAGAGAGATTAGAGCATTCTGAAATAGGTGATTTGGTCTATACTTGTCTGCTCTACATAGTAAGGATAACGATAATAATTGGGCTATATAATCATATTGTGTTAATAATTCTTTCTCATATCAAGAATTAGTGGAGGCCGATTTTCGATCGGATGAGCAGGGGTGCTCAATTCATGACCTTCCCTCCTCATACCTAACTCTTGAGTCGAGACACTTTGGTTAGGACGGACTATGGCCTTTGGCACGAGTCAAGGTTTCCTAGTTTCCTCCAAAAGATTAGGCGGCGACTCTGAGTCTGATGTGTAGTCCATTTTGGCATTTCTTGTGATTAGTAGATTTTCTTTGGATTTGTCAGATTTGGACTCTCTTTCTACTTTGTATTGCACTCATGAAGCCAGACCGAGGGTTTAAACTGTCGGGTTCGTTGGATGCCCTCCAGGAGAATTTATATTCCTAATCCTATATCCCCTAGTTTTTCCACACATCCATCCCAACATTCTCATCTGGGTTACATTCCTTCTACTAACATGTTTCTTGATTGTCCAGCATTATGTAACCATAAACTATAGTTGGTCTCATAGTCATCTTGTAAAATGTTTCTTTAGTCTCATGGGAATTCCTTCACTGTTGCACAATAAGATACAAGTTAACTGCATAAAAGTTCTATACTATATTTCAATCTAATCAAGCCCTTAACACAACTTTTCTTTTATATCTACAATCAGATCATTTACTATCTATTTGGAACAAATCAAGATCATTGTTTGTTATGTTTGAATATGTGGATACTCGGAGAGTTTCATCATATTGTGGTAAACTAGAACATACTGTATATCAATCTTGTTGAGATTTCAATTGGTTTTAGTAGATATATATTGAGCTTTCTATCTTTTATTCTTTTAATGTTTCAAACCCTTAATACAATCTGGATATTCGAGTATTTCTCATCACTTGTTTTTGTATGCATGTTGTAACTGATGTTTTAACTTGTCCTTTTGAGTAGTCCAATCATGCTTAGTGACATTCAATTGCTTTTATGCGCCGTACTCTGATTTGCTTTATTAATTTTTTGCTAACCTATGTCAAACAAATTTGTCATAATTGAAATATTTTATACTAATTTTTTTGAGCAGGCATTGGATGAAAGGAGGAAAGGAAGAGCATAGACCCCTTTCTTCATTTAGCATATTGTTTATATATTCATTATTCATTCTTTGTAGAAAGTAAAGAACAAACAATAAATATGTACAAAGTTTATGGATTATTTTCAATATAAAAAATAAGAACATTTATATCTCTCTCTCTCTCTCTCTCTCTCTCTCTCTCTCTCTTCCCCCACAATGTAGTTATAAGAATAAAGGGAGTCACCTCTAGACTATGAATTGCAAAGTCGTATTAGTTTTAGAATTTGAATTTCTGTAATATTTATTTATTTATTTATTTATTGCAGAGATGATTAATCTGCAATCTCTATGCTCGGTTTTTTGTATTGTCGGAGTCAATCACTATGATTCTGTTGTGTTGTTATTAGTTATTAAAGGCTAAATGGGTGTGAAGACCTACATTTGTTGCTTCTACTTTTTCTGACTCTAGGTTGTTGAATAGAATGGATCACAATGCTTTAAAATTGAATTTTATGCTGTAAAATTTGAGCATTGCAATTTGTTGCCTCTACTTTTCCTGTAGGTTGTTGATTAGAATGGATCAGAATGCTTTAAAATTGAACTTTATGCTATAAAATTTGAGCATTGCAAGGTTGCAAGTACAAATCACTATTCTTGTTTGGAAATAGACATCAAAATCATCCTAAGAAAATATAAGTATACACATCAAAGATTTTCATGTACAAGTTTTAGTTTTGTTTCATTTGATTAAGTTCATTTAATAGTTTACCCAAATCGGCCTCGTTTCGCAACCGAACTTTTTAACTAAAAAGTCAAAAAGTTACTAAATTAGCAAAAAAATTAACAACCCATACTAAAAAGTCAAAGATTCTCTTTTCTCTCTACTTTTTGCACATCTTTTCGTAAAAAGTTAAAAAGTCATCCCAAACATACTAGTTTTTTTAGCTCATATTTTAGCCAAATAACAAAAAAATTACTAAATTAGTCTGTTTTCAAACGGGCTGATTTTTTTTTTTCTTTACAGCCAAAAGATGGAGCCAACATCATACAAGAGCTCATCTGGCTGAGATTAAAAGAGATGTGAGCTTAATGGAGGGATCTAGGACTTAAAAAAATAAAAAAATTAAATGAATTATTTCTCATTATTTAAAGTTCAAGTTTGATTAATTAGGACCTCTTTATGAGGTTATTTTAGATTCCTTCCTTGAACCTACCATCTATTAGACAAAGGCTAATCTCATGTCATATGTGACGTCACTCTTCATCTGTGTGGAAGTCTCCATATGTTAAATCCATATGGGCCAATAAAAGTTTGACTCCTTCGAAGGATGGCAAGAGTTGCAAGACTTTTTTAAAGAAATTTATTTTCGTGGTTATGGACAAGAGGGAAATAGGATCTAGATATTATAAGTAATCAATTTGTTTATCGGAAAATAGAGGAGATATATACAACAATAAGATTTAAAGTCGGACATAATAAAATTATTTATTGGGGTGTCATTTTCTCTATTGTGGCAAGGCAACAATCATTTTCAAATGGTTTGGAGGTTATTTTACACTCCATACAGTTGTATTCACCAACCAACTTGGACGGTGATTAGGTGTCGAATAGTCATTTTCAACATCAAAATAATTTTTTTTAAAAAAAAGAAAACAAACCAACAATTTTTTCCTTGGTCCACAAACCATTATCTCCAATGAAGGAAATTGTAAAGTGAATCCAAAAAAAAGAGAAGATGAGAAAACTAAAGTAATTCTAAAGCAGAGCATATGAAAAAGACATATCAGCTTCCACCTCTTCTTCTTCTTCTTCACTTTGCTTCCATTTCCATCTAACTCCCTTTTGATTATTCTACTTCTCCACTTACACCCCCCACCCCCATCTGTCTCTTGAAGCAGAGAACAAGTTTTAAACATATAGATTTGGGCATGTCTTCTATGCGCAGCCCAAATTCTTTTCCACCATATGATAATTATAGGGATTGTTCTCAAGGAATTTGCAGCACATATTGCCCACAATGGTGCTACTTCTTCTTCCCTCCCCCACCTCCTTTTGCTCTTGATGACAATTCTGGTCCCAACTTCTCCCCTCTCATCATAGCCCTCATTGCCATCTTGGCAAGTGCTTTCCTATTGGTAACTTACTACATCCTCATCTCCAAGTATTGCAAGAGAAGAAGAGATCAAAGCTCAATTGCAGAAATTGAATCGAATCGCAATCAAATCAACCATCATGACCAATGGCAAGTCGCTTCACCCGGGTTGGATGAGGCACTAATCGAATCCATCACGGTTTGTAAGTACAAGAAAGGAGATGGGTTGGTTGAAGGCACAGAGTGCGCGGTTTGTCTCGGTGAATTTCAAGAAAATGAGAGCCTCCGGCTATTGCCAAAGTGTAACCATGCTTTTCACCTCCCTTGCATTGATACTTGGTTGAAATCTCACTCGAATTGCCCTTTATGCCGTGCTAGTGTTGTACAAAGTTCTTCTAGTCTTAACATATTGTCTCTTGAAATTCATCGTGAAAATGATCTGATCATGGTGGTAGATGATCGAGAGAGGGTTGTTCGAGGGGAAGAGGTGGTTTTTGGCCTTGTTAGTGATGTTGTTGCTCCAAAGGACACCTTTCAAGCTGTCAATGAGGGTGTTGAACAATTAAGAAGATCAGTTTCACTCGGTTCATTTTCAAGTATGTCACACATTAATGAAGATGTAGATATGCAAATGAAAATCCACCAATTGTCAACCGGCATTGGATCGTCACAAGGAATCCGAGGAAAAAGCTGGGAAAATTATGGAAATCAGGTCTTCGATTTGGTTAAAAGCCCTGCTGCTGCAATGAAAAGATCAATATCAACTGGGAAGTTCATGTTTCCCAACTGATTTTTTTATTTCATTACTATTTTCTGCGATCTGTGCGTCATGGATTCAAATTACAGAATAGGACTCTGCAACTATCCTTTTGTTTTGTGTGTGCATAATACAACATTTTTCTGTACACTTAGCATATTAACATCCTGCTTTTATGTGTTTTTCTTATATCTAGCATTTTATCATATGGTTATTTGCTTAGTTGATACTTAGTTGATACATCTCTATGAATGCCAGTGGATAGTGGTTGTGCTGTTCAATTTGAAATAAAATTGATTTTCATGTTTGTAAACTTAATTTTCTATGTTTTGTATATTGTTCAAAACTTTTTCAAAATATATGAAATCAAACTGTTCCAAAATGAACGACACAAACTATACTTGTTTACTTCACATAACAATTTTTAGATTTATTAAATAATCAGAACATGAGCATATATTGCCAATAAAACTTGTATCATGGTTTAGTAAAGACCGAGTTTTTGATTAGGTGAGCAGGGTACTCAATTAATGATCTTTTCCCCTCATATCTAAGGTTCCGAATTAAGACATCTTTAGTTACGACAAACAGTGACTTTGACACGAGTTGTGGGTTTCCTAATTTTTTCAAAATATTAGGTGACAACTCTAAGATCTGGTGATGTAGTCTATTTATGGCAATGATTTTGCAATAAAATAGATTTTCTATAAAAGTTGCCGGATTTAGACTCTCATCTATGTTTCACATTGCATTCGTGATGAACTGTTTAAATATGCCCTCATTTTGTTGTTTTAAAAAGGAGAAAAAAAAGAGAAAATTTTGAGAGAAAATTTTGTTTAAAAATGAGAGAAAATTCTAGAAAAAGAATCTCAAAAGTCTTGAGGAGAGAAAATTTTGGTTAAAAGAATTTTTGTTTCAATAAATTTTAAACCTTTCGATCACCATTCTATCCACTGATATATTCCATTTAAAAATTCTATTAAAATTTAAACTTACAACTTCCTACTGAGATTTCAAAGCATACTCTATAACTCATGGTTGTTATGAAGACGGTTTAGTAATCAGAAAATTTATCTTCTCTTCTAAAGGTGAGTTTTCGAAACTTTCTCATTTATTCTCTTTTGTGTTTTCTGTACTTTTTTAAATATGTATTTTTTTTTAATTTTAATAATAATATAAATAATATAATAATAATATATGTTTTCGGTGCAGGATGAAACCACATGCACATTTCTTTCAAATATATTATTATTATGTTTGTTTGTATTATATTATTATTATTACTATATTTGATTTGTTAGATTCAACTTATGTTTGAGTTAGATAACTATTTGTTGTAATAATTTTCGAATCCCACATCTTTTATTCATTGTAATTATTTGGTGCTGTAATAATTTTCTGCCCCTACTTCTTTCTATCCCTTTTCATTTATTTGTTTTTTTTATATCCGTAAATAAGCATCATGTTTTATTTTTCACCATATCCATGGTTTATACTCATATTTTATGCATTAAAATTCGGTTCATTTACATCTGTGGATTTAATCAATTTCTATGTGATTTTGTACACTACCTCTTGTCTTGAAATAATTCACATGTCATGTATTAGTAGCCGAATTTTTAGTTACATTTTTGTATATGTATATATTGTATTAGAATTTTACATCTAAGATCATGCATATTTTCTAATTTTGTTTTGCAGTTTCTCCCGGGACATCGAAAAATACAAGATAAGTATTTATACTTTAACATCCCGCTTGTGTGTGTTTATTTCACTATGTCTAAGCACCCTGCCATGCGGTTATTTGCTTAAGTGATATATCTTTATGATTGCTAGTGGATGGATGTTGTGTCGTTTAATTTGGAATAATATTGATTTTTATATTTGTAAACTCAATTTCTTGTGAGTCAAATTGTTTCAAAATGAATGACCTTGTTTATACTTGTTTGCTTCACATAGTAATTTTTAGAATTATTAATAATTAGAATATACACATATAAAGTCAATAAAATTCATATCATGGTTTAGTAGAGACCGATCTTTTGATCGGGTGAGTCGGGGTGCTCAATTAATGACCTTCCCTCCTTATACTCCTTATACCTAATGTTCCAAATCGAGACATCTCCGGTTATGGTAAACATTAGCCTTGGAACGAGTCACAGATTTTTTAATTTTTCCAAATATTAGGTGACGACTCTAAAATTTGGTGATGTAGTCCATTTCTGACAATGATTTTATGCTAAAATGAATTTTCTATAAAATTTGCGGGATCTGAACTATCATCTATGTTTCATATTGTACTTGTAAGATTAGATCAAAAAAATTGAAGGTCCGAATTATTTAACACGTTCGGATAACCCTCAGGTGATGCGACAGGTGCGACAAATTTGTGACATGGGTTGAGCTCACAATTTTGTATTGGGGCATGGAGAGACATGTGTTTGGTGAATAGTGGATAGCATTGCCACGGGAACCTAGAGCACCTCAATATTTTTTAATTAACTAGGCGCACATATTTGCATGTGTGGGCATTTGTGAAAAAAAATAAACTAATGGGACTTACTGGAATAAAATATCTTAAGTAAGACTTATCCTCAAACAATTCTATAAAATATGACTTCTACTAAATGCGTCTTTATTTTATGCAACGTGTGTAATTTACCATATTTATTTTTAGGGATTTTTATTGATAAGTCCAATTTAGAAATGTTTTAACTCAAGAAGTTCATGAAAGAATTTTTTAATACATTTAGTCCCATATATGTATAGTTTTATTTCATAAAGTCCATTTTCTTGATTTACACTATTTTCTTGGACACTTATGCCCTTATATTTAATTTTGATACCCTTATAAATATTTTTTCAACGATTAACAATTTAATGATGTGAACATTCTTATTTTAAAATTCACATTTGTAGGAATGTAAATTGCCCCGTGGGCGGCCCGAAACCCGCCCGCGAGCCAGGACGGCCCCGGCCCGTTGACAATGTGAATATTCACATTGACATGTTAAAATTCACATTAATAAGAGTGTAAAATTGGCCCCCATCCCGTGGCGGCGCGAAACCTGCCCGCGGCCCATGGGCAGCCCGGGGCAGGCCCGGTCCGGCCCGTTGACAGTGTGAATATTCACATTGACATGTTAACATTCACATTGATAAGAGTATAAAACTGGCCCACGTCCCGTGGCGGCGGGAAACTCGTCCGCGACCCATGGCCGTTCCCAAGCAATTCAAGATGAACAATTCAATCTCTCACTCTCTAGATCGCTTGGTCGACTAGAACAAGAGATATGGACTGATGGAATGTTTGTTTCAATTGAAATGAACTCAAAGGTGTATAGGTAGTGGCCCACTCAAGGGCAAGGTTGTAAATAAGTCAAACTCTTTCAATTCATTGATATTTAATCTAATTTAATCATACCTAATCAGTTTTCAGATGAATACAACATAAAATCACATTAATTATGAGGGTCGTGGAACATCAATCAATTCCAGATTCGGCCGCCAATAAGGCCTTCAATTAGCAGTTTAAACGCTAAAATGTGAACAGATCAAGTAAACAATCAAACAGATAGAATACAGATTAA